GGTGCACCAGGACTTATAACCCAATGTCTTATCCTTTTAGTGAAGTAAAACTTGAATCTATTGTCTTACCCCTTAACCAATAACATATTAGGCCACAATATACTAGGGCTCTCCCTCAAGCCCTTTCAAAGTATTATCAATTACGGGGACCATGAATTTCTTAATCATGATTCCTCTTAATTATTATTTGAATAACTTAATGTAGTACTACTCTACTATTTAACCTTGTGAAAAAGTTTACTTTTTGCATTTCAAATCGAATTCACTGAGGTAATTAGTATGTCAATTATTCATTGCGAAAATCAAAAAGTTATTTGAAGTCTGTGATGCACTTATTTTTTATTCACTTTTAATATGTAACATTATAATATTATTTACTTAAATATAATTTGTAATGATCTTTTACCCTTTTTTATTTTTTATTTTCTTTGTTCGCTTTAAATAGTCACTATCATAAATCATATCTAATTAGCTATTCAATTGCTCTCTTTAAATCCATAAATCTCATACTTTTCATATTCATAACCTCTAAATATTAATTAAAAACTTTAAGATATCTTTTGATATTCCCCCATTTTTATCTTTATAAATTCATCTTTCTCGTTTCATGAGACTCTAATCCAAAGTTATTCATTTCTTTATATAGTTAAAGTAGTGGAGTGTTTATATCATTACTGTACTATTTGATTTATGTTTTAGTTTGATTTGATGAGAAGACTCTTGAATTTTAATTGGTTATCGGAGAAGGTGTAGACAAGAACTCCAAAAATTATGCAGTAATTCTATCCTCTCTTTTTTTCCATCTGCATTGTTATGATTAAAGTCTTAAGAAGGACGTATATATTGTATTTTTTTCATGTATATTTTTTTGTGTTTTCTCCCTATTAGACTTCTTTAATTTAATTTTCTATGATTTTCTATATTTTTACCAGGCTCAAATTAGTTATTTGTGACTTTAGTGAAAGTTTGCTACTACTAGCCAACGTTCAAATTTACCATTGGTTACTTAAATGGAATTACTTTTAAACATTGAAAAATGTGCCCCTCATTTGGTGTTTCTTGTCACACTTTTAATGATTAATTATTTGTAATTGTTGCATTTTATTTCTCATTACGTGCATGTTTTCATAGAATTGTAATCGTTCTAACAAATCTAAAATAAAATTACATGGGACACACGTGCAACACACGTGTCTAATGACTAGTATTATGAGATGTTGTACAATTTTGTTGTGGTGTGGATGAGAAACTTTGGGTCTATTCTGAGTTTGGTCCTCTACTAAACTTCTGATAAAACATGAGACCAAAGTGAGAAGCCCTAAAGAAATGTTGAGCGGCCCAAGATGGTGAGCATGTCAGTGAAATATCAAAGGACTTACTTACACTTAGATTTGTCAAAACAGGTCAATCCAGTCCCACCCAGTCGAAGCCACATGGTTGGAATTTGAAAGGCTAAGTCTTTGTTTACTCCGACAAAGTTCTGAGAGCATTACATTATTCATCTTCTTCAACACTAAATCATTGTTCCTTCAACTCTCTCAATTGTATCGTTGTCATCTTTCTTGAGGATCTCGAGCTCTATCATGTCAACAAAGGCGACGTACAAATATATCTACATTTATCTATCTCCTTCTTCAGTTTCTTTTAAAGGTAACCAAACAATTACTCTTTGTCTTTCACTAGGAAAGAAAATCAAACGTGTCATTTTAGTGTTGCTTTTCTCATTTGGAATATTTTTTAAACGAATAATTTTTTTGTATGACTTTATAATAGAGAATCTACCAGAGTCATCTTTTTTTGAATCAACATCGGCATCATCGTCATCATCGCCACCACAGAAAAATCCTAATGACTTAGGTGCTCTCACTCCAAATCAATTGGAGCTATAAATCCATGATGCTAGTCTTCGTGAAGAGGTCGTGCATCAACTCTACAAGGTACATGGAACGTTTAAAATATTTTTTATCATACAATCTATTTTATGTAAGTGTTAATTTTTGTATATTTAATTTATTGTTATGTATTGTTGTCTTGTACTTGAAAGTCGTTTGATGGGTGAGATAAAGAGGCAAAAAAGTTCATCGATTGTGGATTATTTTTTTTGTGATGTTTTTTAATGGACATTAGATTTCACAATGAATGAACAAATTTTGTCAGTGTTCTTTATAGAATTTATGATGATATGATTAGTTTTCTCTTTTCTATATTATAAGAAAATATGTCATATTTACCCAAAATGGGCATGATGTAGAATTCAATATGACGTCAATTTAACATTTTATTTAAAAATTAAATTTTGACACGTATGTTGCACGTGTATAATTTGATGTTGATTAGTGCAAACTTCTTAAAACATGAAGAAATAATATTTGAATAATTGTGTGATGAATTGGACAAAATTGAAAGGGAAGGATACATTCTCAAATTCATGAATAGTACAATCGATCGATATTTATTATCGTTATAATGTATAATCACACCACAAATTTCATTCAAATGAAATTTAAATGATCCCCTTCATTCTTCTCTCATTAAAGAAAAAATAATTCTTATTTATTGAATCATTATAACGATATACACCATATTATTTAGAAAAAATAACGTAATGAATGTTTTCTTGTTTCAAGGTCATTCAAAATGTATGTACTAATTGAAAGTCAACAAATTTTTCTAGATGTATTTTATGATGAGTTAGAAACTGTTGATACTATTTTTAAGTTCTTATTAGTTAGGGCTAATTTGGTTTAGTACTTGACTTAATTTATTTATACTATGTTTTACCAATTTTAACTATACATTTAATTTTTTTCAACTTACATATAATTCATCCACTCTGAATATGTTTGGGTTAGTTGTTTAAAAATAGTTGATAAGCATCGAGTATTGAGTTTGGTCCTCGCTAAACTTGTGATAAAACATGTGCCCAACGTGAGAAACCCAAAAAAAAAATGCAGAGAGGCTCACGAGTCACGATAGTTAGCATATCAGTGCCTGAAACAAAGAAAAAGACTTAAATTGTTTTATTATTGGGTTATCGGTTCTTGAAAGTTTAAGGTTTTCTCTTAACAGGTTAACCGATAATCAAATAATAAATTAATTAATTATATTTATACCATTTATAAGTAGTCTTTGACTTAGGATTTAGCTTCATACTTTTATTTCTCATTGTGATCTGGAACTCTCGGTTATTCCAGAATTTGTATGGTTGTCACCTTATTTCTAAGTGATTTTCAATTATTATTAGGAGAAGTTATATGCATTATGTGGATTTTTTTTATTTTTTTTTGTCTATTGATCATTCTTGAAGGGATTTCTTGCTAAAGAAAAGTATGGGATACCAACATCAACTATTCTCAAGTCTGGGGCATTGGCATTGTTGTTAGTCCATCTTTTCAAATTTAAACAATAAATTGTAAGAATATGATTTTAGATGTTACTTTTGAATGTTTGGAAGAACACCTTGTAATTGAATTTGAGTGTAAGTGTAATTATATAATATAAATCTTTGTTTAGTCAAATATTTATTTGGTTATCATGAAATAGATGTAATTGAGGGTAGCAGTTAGAATCTTCAATTTTCTGACGATAAAAAAATAGTAATAATTATATGGTATAGTTATCAAATGACTATGTTAGAAATGTATCTACTTCTGTCATCTAGAGATTTGGATAGTATTGTGTTGAAGTTGACACTAAACCATTAATGTGTTTGGTAAAACGATATTGATAAAGACTTTATTCGATTAAAATGACGAAAATATCCTAAAGATATACATAAAAATAATTTACATAAAAAGGGATAAATAGCAAACACTACTGAAAACGTGATTTAGCTAAAAACAAATTTGGTAGCTTAATAACAAAATCTACCACTAATTTTATTTAGCGATAGATTATCATAAGAACGTATTTATCTACAAGTGATTTAGCAACGATTAACGAAAATTTTGTATCTCATTTAATTTATCTTTTTCGTAGTGAAAAATAGAATAGAGCGATAATTAGAATTTAGGGGTAAGTAGTCAAAACACCCTTTGCTACAAAAAAAAAACAAAAAAACTACGTGTAGTTAACTTTCGAAAATTACAATATTATATTAGTTTACTCTATTACATACTGTTGTTTATCTGTATTACTAAGTACTTGAATAATTACTTTGCAAAACTTCATAAGATACAACAAAGTTTAAAATATATATGCTTTCAAAAACAAAAAGTTAAAACCAATAAAGAAAGTATAATCTGCAGCAAAGCATAAACAATATTGAAAAGAAAAAAATCGAGCGCACTGATTGCACAGTGTGTCGTTAAAGAAATTATTCCCCTCAAGTTCTCGAGATTAATGTAATATATCCTATCATCATAGAAAGATCTTACCACCAGTGCATTGGTACCTAAAAGGCTAAAATCGCGGGTGTCAACGAACCACTCAAAGGCAGTAAAGTACACTAGAATTTGTCTATGCAGAATAAGAAGAAGTTCAGAAAATCCGTTGCTGAAAAATGAGGGGAAACCCTTCTATTTATAGACAACAAAGATAATATGAACATGTTCTTATTGTGCCCTATCGGAAAGATCACAACCTTTTGAAAAAGTCACAACTTTTCGAAAAAGTCACAACCTTTCTGAAAAGTCACAACTCTTCAAAAAAAGTCATAACCTTTCAAAAAAATAGCAACTCTTCAAAAAAATCACAACCCATTATTTTCCATTCACACCTTTTCAAAATCCAACATATACAAAACTTAAATTTCTGCATAAAATAATATCCATTTTGGTCAAAAATAAAAGGAGTGTCATTTAAATTAGAAGGGGTTGAATAGTAAATACTACTGTAAAACATAACTTTTCTTCTGCTTAGTTTTCTTCCAATGAATTGAGCAAATAATTATTTTTTCTTTCACCGTTAAAAGAGAGTCAAAACATTTCTCTTTATTGTCTTCTTTCTCATTTGAAAAAAAAAAAAAAATCAAAAGGAAAAAAATTCCCCTTACGAATTTTATGGAGAATTTACCAGAGTTACCATTTCCTGAATCTACATTGATATCATCGCCATCGCTATGCAACATTTCTTCTTCTCATGCAGATATGCAACAAAATTCTCATGACTTAGATGGTCTCACTCCAAATCAGTTGGTGTTGTTACTCCATGACAATAATCTTCGTGGAGAAGTCATGTATCAACTCATCAAGGTACATGACATGTTTCAAATATTTTTTTAATATATATTTTTATTTATTCATTTGTATACATTTGATGTTCGTGTTAATTTTTCTATATATGTGCTTGTTATGCATTTTTGAGATATAAAGGCAAAGAAATTTATGGATCTGTGATTTTTTTTAATATGCTATTTTAGAAAGACCATTAAATTTCACATTGAATGAATTTTTGCTAGTCGTTCGTAGAAATCACTCATATGATTATTTTTCTCGTGTTATATATTATTTGATATATCATATGTAGCAAAATGGGCATATACAAGCCCTAATTAAGTGGTTCACAAGCTAGCATAAGGGTAAGCATTTCAATTTTTCTAAAAAGAGAAATTTATTTAATTTTGTCAATAATCAAAATTAGGAATGTCATTTCTATAACTAGACAGATTATTAATGCAATTCTTGAGTAACATGAATACAATCTTCTAAATTTTTCAATAAAAAAATAATTGTTATTGTTATAGGATGATGAGTACAAGTACTTTTGGGAATTTTAAGATATACAAGTAAATTATAAAGTTAATTATCAATATGAGGGAAATTCCCATATGCTTACTAAAAATAACTTTATTAAAAAGCTTCAGTGACAATCAAATCAAAGTGATTTCTCGCGAAATTGTTATTTATTCGGATTGAGTTGTTCCCGCAAACTATTGATGATATCCTTGGGAGTTTGTATCAAAATTTTAATTAGAGAGTTGGTTTTCATTGAAATTTCATATTGAAACTCAAAGAGGAAGACATAAATAAATTGTATACATTGAAATAAACATGACATAAAAAATAAAATCAACAACAAATAAAATACATACAACAACATAATTGTATATGAGTTACGTTGTATGTTTTAATCGAATTTGTACACAACAAAATTTGTACGCAAGTTGTACATAAGTTGACGAAATTCTATACAATAAAAATTGTATGTAAATCATATGTTTTGACCGAATTTGTATGAGTTTTGTTTAAAAGACGCTCAATACTCTTTGAAACCCCTAAAATCTCGCTAAGTTGTATAAAGACTATCCATCCAATTTCTATACCTATAGGAGAAAAAAAATCCCTTTTTTGTTTGGTATTATAGGTTAGTCTAATCCACCAGGTTAGTGGACTAGCTGAGTTGAAGTAAGAGCCTCAATTTGAAAATATTCTAATCTAACAACATCCAATAGTGAGTTATTTTAGACTGATTTAAGGACTAATCAAGATTGGGGTACATCAGGATCCCAGGGGACAACGGGTGTCACCTTTACTAATGCCTACTAGAAACATAAAGGAGAAAAATGTTGAAAGGGAGAAACAAGTGAGAGCAGTAACCTACCCTTTGTACCAACTGCACCCTTTGAAACTCAGGGATGATGTGAGTTTCGTAGACTTCAAAGAATTCACAGTCTCACAACTTTTTTCACGAATCCAAACTACAATTCGTAGAAACTTCTACGGTTTGAGGATTCCCTTCGTCAAAGTCAGGCTTTGCAGTGCACCATTAGTATCTTGATTACGATCCGTAGACCTCAAGTTTATTTGAGGGGAAGTGCACAAATAACCAATTTAAGGACCCTAATTTAATGCATAGGCGAAGTTGATATGTTTTTATAAGTTTAATCACTTTAAATTTAATTTTAGACTCGCAAATCTAAACTTTCCAAAAACATTATTAGGACATATGTTTCGAACAAAAATATTCATCTGAAGTTTTCCTCAAATATCTAATATTGGCTACATCTCCTTTGCTCTTCAACTTCAAGTTTCGATCCAACCCTCCTTTAATCGACCCCAAAGATCCCCCCCCCCCCCCCCCAACACAAAACCAAGCACCAATTATCATAAGCTAAAGAAAAGAATTAAGTGAAAATTAAATTACTTGTCTGGCCAAGCTACCTTGATCAAAAGTGTTTTTTTCTTTTTAATTGAAGTAAGGGCTTATTCTAGAGAACGGACGTGTTTGGTCAAGCTGTTAGGTAAAAAAAAAACATTATTGAGTAGAATCAAACTATTTTTCGAAAGCTAAACAAACATTTTCAAAAAAAAAAAATTACTTCATAACCTTAGTAAAACACAAATTGCTGGTCTAATATGGACAAAAGTGTTTATCAAATTGATTAGCTAAACACAAGTTGTTTCTCTTTAAATATATTTATTCCCGAAGCATGTCTGACAAAAAGCAATATTCAAAATATGCCGATTTTAAAAATTTGGCCAAACAAATTATTACTCCTTTTATTGTATCTTCTTAAAGTGCTTGTAATTGTTAGATTCTGAGTTGGTGACTTTTGTTATATATTTCAGAAGCGAGATACATGCGAAGATCTAGCTCTGTTGCTGTGGAACACCTTCAATGCAGTTTACATGCTTTTGCTGGTATACCTCTTTTAATTTTCATGGATTTATATTTTGTTGGATAATCTTAAATTGGATTTTTTAGAGTTTATGTTAGAATTTTGTGAGCTCTAGTCTAAACGTTTGAAATGTTACAGAGAGAAAATGCTCGATACCATACATGTTAAATTATGCGATCATCTGATTTAAAAGGTTAGATGACTAGAGAGAATACATTCATTGTTAATATCAAAAGTCCACGAGTGGATGTTATGCACAAAGACAATATCAATATATGTCATTAGTCACAAAATGGTTATTCCTTTGTTTGAACCCGAAGTTAGGAATTCCTTGTTGATCCAAACTCAACAGAGCTCTTATAGAAGCAGGTAGCAAACTAAGGTTTTCTATTATGAGATTCTCCCAAATTTGTCAAGTGATCAGCTACTAAGGTGACAATTGAATGGTTTAGGTTTAATTTGGGCGGGTCGTGATAGCTAAAGACAACAATCGGGTCAAGAACCAACCCAACCCAAATTTATTTGGGTCAAAATGGGTTAGGTTATGGGTTATATAACGGGTCAAGATCCAAACCAACCCAATTTTACTAAGCTTAATTGTTTTATTTGCTTTTTAAAACTATTTTGACAAGATTTCTCATTAGTCAATTCAGGTTACATATCAATCCAATTTTTAATGGGTTGAGCTAATGAATGGGCGGGTTAAACTTAAACAGGTTGGGCAGGTTGGGTTTGATTCCACCTCCTCCTGCAGTGCCTGGATTAGCTTTGCTGAATCCATCTGTGTTGAGTTTTTGCCAGCCACTATCTGGTTTCTGCCATAGAAGTGCTATTTCAATACTGCTACAGAGTTCGTGCCATTCAAGAGGAGTGTTATCAAATCTAGCACTACATCTATTCTTCAAAATTTGCCAGCTAATTATAGTAGGCAAACATTGTATGAAAGCTTTGTGAATCTTATTCTATATATAGGGTAATTATAGGGTAGGGGTTCCCCTGTTTGCATAGTTACCGTTGGTGTGTAGAGTTTTAGAGAGAAGTGAGAGCAAAATTTTTTTAGAGAGAGAAGTTCCTAGCAGCAAAAGTTTCTGGATGAAAGAATGCTTATTGATGTGCAAGAAGTTGTGAATGCGTAATAATGTTTGTCTTATGAATTTCAGGAAGTCATATCAGTGTATTGGAAGTTGTCACCCCCAATGATATCTATGAAGGAGTCAACTCGAGCGTGTAATGCTCTTGCTTTGCTTCAGGTTAGTAATATCCCATCAAACAAGTGTATTTTCCCTTGTTGGTTTACAATGTGCAAAACAGTTATTTTGGAAACTATTTCAAGTGAATGCTAGGTTAAGAAAGGGCAGTTGTATAGAACCTTTTAACTAAACATATATGCCATGGTTCCTTAATTCGATAGGATACAAATATCTAAATGTATTTGAAAAAGAACATACAATATGAAAAGTGAGGATTCATAAAGCAGTAATGATTGCTGTTGTATTAGAAAAAGAACATACCTGATCCCTGCCTTTTCGAGCAGCAATATGCAAGGCATTTTTTCCCTTATTGTCAACCATATTTATCAATGAAGGATCAGTTCTAGTTAACTTCTCCACAATTTCAAGATTTTGTCCTTTGACAGCCATATGAAGTGCAGTTTGCCCCTTTTTAGGTCCCATTTCTTGCGGCAGAATGCAATGCTGTTTTTCCGTTACTTTTAGCTATGGTGGCCAAACTACTCTCTGCCTCCAGAAGATAATTCGCCACTCTATATGCTCTTGGTTTGCAGCTGTATGCAAAGCAAGTATTTGAAATATCAACTGTCATTGAGGCCGTCATGAAATGAAGTTTTGATATTTTGTTATTACTTATTTCTTGACACCAATTTTCCGCCACTTTGTTATATGTATCCACCTTATTCCTTTATGGATATATTCTACAGGTTATGGCCAAAAATCCAGAAACAAGAAAGGAGCTTATAGAAGGTAAGTCAGTTTATGAAATGATAAAATTGAAATGAAAATCAGGCAAAGGCAAATGACTAGTAAGAGTAAATCAAGTTTTTGTACGAATATGGAAAGATTCAGGTGACTAGGTTTCAAAGTGAGTGGAAGAACAAATTCTTCCCACTTCAGTCCTCTTTTTCATGTCTTCAGTCTTTCAAAAAGATAAATTCGATTTCATTATCATTTTTGCGGTGAGAATGCAGATCATGCGCCTGCAGGTTCTTTTCGATGGAAATATGTCCTTTTAATGCTCTAGTTTACCTCAAACTCTAACTTTGTACCTTTAAGAAATGTTTTTACTGTTGTGTGAGAAACAGTTAACTCTTCTAGTAATTTCATTTTGCAGCTAAAATACCATGTTATTTCTACCCATTTCTCAAGCCTAGTGGAGACGACAAGCCTTTGGAGTATTTGAGGCTCACCAGCTTGGGTGTTCTTGGTGCCCTAGCAAAGGTATCCATCCAATGAACAAATATACACACGCTCTCTTCATTGTTGTCACTACATTCATTTCATGGATTTACTTTTTCCAGTTTTCTTCAAGATTGAATGTGTTCAGTAATTATACTTTGTTGTTTACATATGCGACAGAATCTCATAAAGTGGGTTTGGGAAGGGTAGAGTAAATACATACCATACCTCTACCTCAGAGGTGAGGTAGAAAGGTTGTTTCCCCTTAGACCCTCGGGTCAAGACAAAAACAGTCTAGAAACGTGATGGAAGTACAAGAGACAAGAGACAAGAGGTAGTAACAATAATGACAAATAGTAGCAGAACAGTACTAAAACAAAATAATACTATAATCAAACTACATGAAACCATAGATAGCAAAAGAAACCGAAGAACATGAAATTACAAGAGTAGTATTATGACTACCAGTAAGGACAGCAAGATGACACACTCCTACCTACTAGTATGGACACACTCCTACCTACTAGTATGGACGCACTCCTACCTACTAACCTTCTACCTTATTTTGCATCTTTCACACCTTGCTATCTGAGGTCATGTCCTCGATAACTTGTAATTGTGTTGTGTCCCATCTAATCACCTCTCCCAATACACTTTTGGTCTACCTCTACGTCTACTAAATCCATCCATAGTCACTCCCCCCCCCCCCACAAGGGCATCCATGCATCTCCTTATCACATGTTCAGAGCGCGTCATGTCTTCCACCGAAGTCACTCCTACCTTGTCTCGGATATCCTATTTTTGATCAAAATACCAACTGTGTCTTTTGTTTTCTTTTTGGTGGAGTAAATCAAAATTATCTCTAATTGTTTGATAAAGTGGATTGAACTAAGCAAATATACTCTTTTTCCATCATCTTTTACTTCCCCTCCTCCTACTCTTCCTCGTTAAAGTTGGAAAACAAAACAATTAAAAAAATGAGTAATAACTCCTAGAATAGACTGGTACAATTCATTTTTTTTGGTTATTAAGGTTTGATTTTGTCGTAGCTCTATAATTCGAAATAAGTTTATCGTTAGACAAACAACATTCATAATATTGATGTCATACCCCAAGCCTACACCCAGGACGTGGCTGGCCCCAAGCAAACCCTTGGCCTGGCTTTCTTACTCAGCGAAAGACTTTACTCAAGATAAATACCTTTAAAATAGTACATTGAACTGCTCAATAAATAATTGAGAATGTAATAAATAACATTCACTGCCAGACTGGCAACTCAAGTCTCAACTTAATTGAAAAGGAAAGTAAAGACTCATGAACTAACATCAACTAACTCTGTCTATGAAGCCTCTAAACTCTGAGGGATGTCGGGACAAGACCCCCGATCATCCTAACAATTGAAATGAGCAAGCAATAAAACAAAACATAACCAAAGGGATCCTCCGAAAAGCAAGGAGGCTCACCAACTACTCTGAGTGCTCAATTGGATCAACGATGCACTGGATGTTGATCCTGGTTACCTCTGTCTGCATCATAATAAGATGCTGACCAACTGGCATCAGTACATTGAATGTACGAGTATGCGAGTTGGAATGCTAAACATGACTTAAGCTTGAAAAGAATCTGAAAGAAACACTTACCTTGGCTTTACTCAACTCCTGAATAACTTATGTAACATCCGACAATTTAAAAATGAATATGAAGAAGCTTGAAATTTGGAAATAGTCATTTTTTTGAAAAATTTAAAATCTGGAAATTTGGCTAAGTGTGGAAATCAGTGAGTTTTTGGCCAACTTTGAGCAGTCATAACTCCTAGCTCAGGATGATTTAGGAGTATTTCCAGTTATGGTTTCGAAGCTTGTGGAACGATCTTTCCAACGCCACTGAGTTTGCTCGATTCCGAGTTCGTATGAGCGAGTTATGATCTTTGAAAGTTGGGCAGTTGGCAGGGATTCCGTTCCGGAAATTTAAGGGCATTTTGGTCTTTTCACAAATAATTTCTTTTGAGCTTATATTGTTGTATTAGGCTGATATTTGGATCATTTTGTCCCATTTTGAAAGAGAAAGAGTTAGGGTTCAAGAGAAGAAGAAGAGAAGAAGGAGAAGAAGAAGAGAAGAAAGAGGAGATCAACAAGATTTGTCAAGATCATTGTGGATTTTCGTCGGGGGTGATCCCTATCAAGGTATGTGAGTCTTTAGTGTGGGTTTATCCTTTCCCCCCACATACCAAGCTCGTTTTTATGATTTGAGAAGAGATTGGATTTGTTGTTGAAGTTGTTGAAGTTGTTAGTTGTTGTTGATGTTGTTAGTTGTGTTGTTGAAGTTATTGTTGGTTGTGGGACAGGATTGGGCTGTGTATTTGAGTTGTGACCTATTGTATATTGAGGGATTTTATGATCCTTAGTGTTGGTTGGTTCATACCCCCACACACCAACTCGTTTTTAATTCCAAGAGAAGATTTATTGGTTGTTGAAGTTGTAGTGGTGTTGTGTTGAAGTTCTTGCTGATTTAGTACAGATTTCTGGCTGTGATTTTTGAGTTGAATCTATTGTATAATAAGGGTCTTTATGATTCTAAGTGTTGCTGCTGAAACCTTGAGGTTGAGAGGGTTTAGAATTGGAAAGAAACAAGGGGAAAAAGTCAGATTTTTGGGGAAAAAGGGGCTGGGCTGTTGCACCTCTCCTAGTGCCAAGGACACCAATCCTTCCCTTTCATTCACCATTTCTTTTTTTATACATGTTCCTAGGTATTATACCTATGTTTCCTAGTTGTTTCCAACACTCCAAGGTACTTCCAAAAGTCAAGTAAAACTACAAGTCAAGTGAAGTTAGTTTCCAATTCAAGTGAAGTTAGTTTCCAAGTCAAGTGAAGTCAAGCTTAGAAGTAAGTAAGTCAAAGCAAGTCTTTAAGGTTTTCCAAGAGTCTTCATTGAACGTTTTAACTTCATTCTAAGGCTCAAGTTCCAAGTTAAGTATTGAGTTTCAAGTCAAGTCAAAAGTTAAGAGTTTCATGTTAAGTTAAGAGTTTCACATCAAGCCAAGAGTTCAAGTAAAGTAAAGAGTTTAAAGTTGAGTTCTTTTCTCAAAGTTATTAGGGAACTATGTATTCCCAAAGAAGTTTTAAAGAAATGTTTTTACATTTAAACAAGGTTGGAAACTGAGATTTCCAAAAAGCCTTCGGGCTAGTTTTTGAGTAATTATCTCATATCAGCAGGAAGAAATATGTTTTAAAAACATAAGAGCCAGTACATTTTTGGGAGTAGTATCGAGCACCGAATTGGGGGAGCGTTCAAAGAACCCACAGCCCCCATAGAACCATGTTAGCCACCATGGGTAGAAAATGATCATACTTTTTAGATGAATCCTTTTCAGATTAGACTAGTGGATCCATTAGGCAGTTCAGGTCTTATACCTTTGGCCGGGTATAAGATGCTCTGGCAGCGTGAGGTCGATCGCTGTATCATCACTATAGCTCTTATGTGATGGTTGTCGGTTAGAGAAACTCCCACAGCAGTTATTGTATTTTTCATACACAGAGATTATTGTATTTTTTATATACATCAGTTCATTGTATTTTTATACACATTTCAGGCTTATTGTATCCTTGTATACACACAGAGTTCATAGCATGTTTTAAGCAATCTTTCTTTATATCGCACTTGTTTTAAATTGCCTTATATTGAAAGAAGTCAGTCAGGTTGAGTTAAGTTGAGCCAGGTAAGCTATTCAGTTTCTTCCAGTTTTCCTTCTAGCCTTTGTTGCTTAGTTTTCCAGCTTGCATACTCGTACATTCCATGTACTGATGCCAGTTGGCCTGCATCGTTTGATGATGCAGATTCAGGTACCCCGGATCAGCATCCTGCACGTCGTTGATCCAGCTGAGCACTCCAGAGTCAGTGGTGAGCCTCCTTGCATTCCGGAGGACTCAATTATTTTGTGTTCTTAGTTTTTGTTTTATTAGGATGTTGCGGGGTCTGTCCCAACATCCATCTCAGTATTTTAGAGGCTTCATAGACAGACAGTCAGTCAGTTAGTTTTGAGTCTCTCATCTATATATATATGTAAATATTCTATTTTGAGATTCGAGTTGCCTTTATGGCCATATTTTATAAGTTAAGTTGTTTTGTAATATTGCATTGCATTGAGTTATTCTGTTGAGGTTTCCGCTGAGTTAAGAAAGCCAGGCCAAGGGTTCGCTTGGGGCTAGAAATGGTCTCCGGGTGCCGGTCCCGCCCAGGGTGTAGGCTCGGGGCGTGACAAACTTGGTATCAGAGCACAGAGTTCAGGAGTCCTAGGGAGTCTATGAAGCCGTGTCTGTAGAGTCCTAGTTATCGGTGTGAAGCGCGCCACATCTATAATTGGGAGGCTGCAACATTTAGGAAGATTTCTCATTTCTTTCACACTCATTTCATGCGTTAGAGTTGATCTCTAAAAAGTTTCTTTCTAATCCATGCTTGCGCGTGTTTCAGATAGTCATGCCTCCACGAAGAGTTGGTAGAGGGCGTCTTCCTAGACGTTATGTTGATGAGCAAGAGTTACCCTATGCACCGGGAGTGCAAGATCAAGGGGAAGTTTCTAATGCCGAGTTCAGAGAGGCAATTAGAATGTTGAGTCAAGCTGTAGCAAATCAGATTGGTCAGCAAAGAGGAGCTCGACATGAAGGAGCTGACACTTCAAGGATTCGTGAGTTCTTGGGGATGAATCCTCCGAGTTTCATGGGTTTGAGCACTACTGAGGATCCAGAGGATTTCATTGAGGAGTTGAAGAAGATTTTTGATGTGATGCATGTGGCAGATATTGAGCGGGTTGAACTAGCTGCTTATCAATTGAAGGATGTTGCTAGAACTTGGTTCGACCAGTGGAAAGGGGGCAGAGCTGAGAATGCACCACCTACAAGTTGGGCCGATTTTGAGGAAGCTTTCTTGGGGCATTTCTTTCCTCGAGAATTGAGAGAGGCCAAGGTACGTGAGTTCCTCACACTTAAGCAGGAGTCCTTGAGTGTTCATGAGTACAGTTTGAAGTTCACACAATTATCCCGCTATG